ACTTGACAAAAGGTTCATTGACAGTATCTCCTGAGTTCAACAGAAACTCCCAAGGCTAGTGCCAAGGCAGAAATGCATGCGGTTAGCAAACCTGAATAGAAAACACAGCTTCTGGCAAGGGGATGTTTTGTCTCACCATGGGACAAGGAGCCTGGTAACTGCAGCTGTCACCTGAAACCATGCAAAGTCTCTGCACGCAGCTCTGTTCACAGTGACTGTGAGAGAAAAGGCTGGAGCAGGAGCAGGGGAAAAGCCTTGGGGAGGCAGAGACTCTTTAGACAGCTGCCTAAAGCCAAGTGGTCAAAAGTCTCTTTCACCTGAGCAGTTACCACCTAGGTCAAGACGATGGCTTCCTAGTTCAAGAGCCCCTCAAGGCAAGATTTCCTAAGGGTCCTAAGGAGTACAGATGAACAAGGTTGAAAGCTGCCATGGGGAAGATCATCTGAGGATGCCTGCTGAAGACTCTGACTGTCTTCTGGAGGCAATGGAGCAGTGCCGAGGGGCCTTGGAGAATGACAAGATCACACAGGAGCTAAAGAAAACCATCCGAGCGGCTGCACTGCTGTTGTTGTTAGGTGCCTTTGAGTCAGTTCTGACTCAGTGACCCTAAGTGCAGTAGGCCCATCCTGTCATCACAATTGTCCCTGTGTTTGTTTGAGTCCACTGTGGGATCCACAGGGCCAATCCCTCCTACTGAGGGACGGAAACAACTGGCCAGGAGAGAGCAGTATGAGGGAGTGAAGCGACCATCAGAAAAAAGAAATCAGGTGAAAAGTAAAAACGGGTCTGAGCCTGAGCCAGAGGAGGGTGAGAGGTGACAGATCTGAGAGGTATTTCCGTGGCAAAGCCGAGGTGCAGTGAGTGAAAAGGAAAGCGGAGTGGAAGGTTTCCAGTTGGGATGGCCAGGGAGAGGCCAGTGCCTTCAGGGAAGGAAATGAGAAGGGGGATGCAGCTTTGGGAATGACCATAAAGAGAAAGTCAGGTCTTGCTGACTCTGAAGTGGACAAGTCCTGAATTTAATACCTATTTATCAAACATTTCATAGGGCCATGTAGGGTTGGAGGCTCAATGTCCCCAACCATCTCACCCAGACAACCAGTCAGCTCAAGAGGCTGGTCATTAGTGGGAGGAGAAATAAAGAGTCTACTCCAAAAACCAGAAACCAAACTCAGAGTGATTTGCTCTTCTTTCTCCCACAGAGCAGATGGTAGACTTGAATTGCTGACCTTTTGATTAGCAGCTTGACACATTTCACACGGAGCCACTGAGGGCTTGTAAAAGCTACCCTATTTCAAGATATATGTGGCAACAGTCTTCCTGCAGAAAGCCAAAAGCTTTATTAAGACCTGTTTTTGTTTTCTCAGTAAGACTGAAAAAAAAAATTAAACTCTTTAAAAGAGAGAAATAACTACGGCAGATAAATAGAATCAGAACAAGTATCATATCAAATGTAGTAAATACAAAATCCGAGCAGATTTACGTGACTACAGATAAAGCAGGATTTCCAAACTAACCAATCTCAGCTTAGTCAATGCACTACAACTGCCCTTACTCAAATGACTCACAACAGCTTTCCCATCTCGTGCAAAGGCACATTTAACAGTTAAGAAACCAGATATAACTCCAGGGTCATGCTGAAATAGTCCTATTCTATAGTTTCACTCCAGAGTTTACCCTAAAATAATTTCCTTTAAACCAGCCACAATCAGCAAAACCACTCACACAACTTTCTTTTAATTGTTTATTCTTCCTCTTTCTCTAACCAAGGTCTGAACAGCATTCACTATCTTGGAAACCAAAGATTTACCATGGGGTGGGGTTAAAATATCCAACTTTTATAATTATCAGTCAGCAGCATAAACTGCTTTTGGTTTTAAATATATAATTGTAAGAAGATCTTTCCTGCTAAGTGCCTTTGTTTTAAAGGATATTGATCTAATTCAACAGGTCTAGGCACACAGTAACTGAAGAGTAAAATGAACTTAAACCAAGAACACATAATTTAGAAGAAGTATTACTATCTGAATACAAAGATATACAACAAAACTGATCAAGGGGTAACAGAAAAGTTTTCTCTTTCAAATTAAAAACAAAGCAGCTGGACTTTGAAATAAACCTGAAAAACTAAGTGACCCCAACCCAGTCAATGTGAACAGAGCTGATCCCTGAATCTGTAGCTGAGCTTAGCAACATTAACCAGGCATTCTCCCCATTCTGCTTCAGGAAACGCTGAGCTAGGGTGATGGGTTTCTGGCCAGCAGGAAAACACACTTGACGGTCATGTGGTGTGAATTAAAGGCGGGTTACAGCCTCTTGAAAAGCAAGACCCACTTAATTTTGGCAAAACGTTTTCTGGTTCAAAAGAAAAGGAAAGGGGAAAAAAGGCCTAATAGTGTGTTTGGATAGCCCCAAGTAAATGATTCTGACAGACATGGAAAGACGCAACTGAGACTCTTAAGGGTAGCAGAAATCCTGGGGCTTTTGAGGCCTCCAATAGGAGACAAATTATTTAGTGACAATGTTCAAATTATTGAACAGAAATGATAAGATGGGAGGAAAAACATGTAATATGAATATTTATGAAATATAGACAAAGTACTGATTGTCCTTGAAGTCTAGATTTCGTCGAAGCAAACAAAATAACAAACAAGCATTTAATGCATCTGTTGGTTAAAATGAGATCTTTTAGTAATTCATGGTTTATGCATGCATAATATGTGCCTCACTCACTGACTGACTGCTGTCCAGTCAGAACCAACCCACTGCTGATTCTGAATGGGATTTCTAAGGCTGAACCCTGCAAAGAGATTACTCATCTTTCTCCCTTGGAGCAGCTCGTGGGATTCAAACTGCCAGAAGGACTGGGCCTTTGGGTTATCAGCACAGCCCTCCACAAACTGCACTACCTGAGCTCCCTTAGCATGACAGAAAACTCTCATTGTCGCTGTGCCGGAACCAACTCATAGCTGACCCTCCCCTGGCGTTTTGGGGGACTGTAAATCACAAAGGTGGAGACTGTCCATCTTTCTCCTCTGGGGTTGCTGATGGATTTGAACTGACAGAGAAGCCCCTTCACTGGGTTAACAGAGCAACTCCCTACACATTACAGCACAGAGCTCTCCAATATATACCATTTACAGATAAATACCTCCAGCCCAGAACTCTGGATCAGGCTTCTAGAATCTCCTCCCTTCTGATACCCCCATGAACACCTCAAAATCAGTCTTTATGATCTGCATCCTCCTACCCCCTCTGCGTGCATGCTTTCTGTCTCTATTCCTTTCTCTTTCTCTCTCTCTCTTGCTCTCTCTCACATGCTCTCTCTCTCTCTCACACACACTGCTCCTTGTGTTGTACTCTCCCACCTATACACTGTTCAAGTTAAAGACTTGCACATCAGTCTCGAAACATCCCTTATTCACCCTACCTCTTCATGTCACCAATCCTCTCATAAACACTTGGGAAACCCAGCCCTTTCTTTCTCTTGCCACTTCCCTAGTTCAGGCCACATCCCTATCCTCAGTAATGAGGGTTCAGGCATGGCCTTCAGCAGACCTGCTTTGTAATGTATTAACTGGGTGGACTTGGACAAGTAATTCATCTTCAAATCCCTGTGCCTCCTGACCTATAAAATAGGGCGATGATGTCCACATCACAGAATTGTTAAGGAAGTTAAAGAAGAGAATGTAAAAGCCTCGGAAACAGTGCCTGCCTGGAAGCAATTAAGAATGCAATAAATCTCAACTATCACAATCTTCCTTCTCAGTAGACTGCAAATCCCGAGTTGGTGACCTTCGAAAATTGGTTCTCTCTCTCTCTCAATTCCCTGATGGCAGGAACTGAGCCCATTTCTCTAAGTGCATGGTGCCTAATGTGTAGGAAGCACTAAAACAAACATTACCTCAACACTTCCCTTCAAGGGTTTACCTACGCAAATTCAATATGTATAGTGTAAGGATATAATCTGAATGGACACCTTTCTGGATTTCAAGCCCCACAATGTTGCCTTGTTTAATTTATCTACTGGATAAATAATCCATTGTTGACCAGTCAGTTCTGACTCACTACAACCCCAGAGGACAGAGTACAATTGCCCCATATGTTCCCAAGGCTGTAAACCTTTATGGAAGCAGACTGACATCTGAGTGGCTGGTGGCTTTGAACCACTGACCTTGTGGTTAGCAGGTGAATATTTGAACCACTGTATCACTAGAGCTACCCTGGAAAATAAGTGAGTGATTAACAAAACAACTATAATACAGGAGTATTAAGAGCTATGTAATATTAAACATTTTTTCTCCCAAAATCATCAATTTAAAAAACATTAATGTGTACAGATAGATGCAAGTCAGTAAGGATCAGTAATGAGAATTACCAGTTGCCGTATTTTGATGTCTAATATAATGAACTCTATTTAATGAATGCACCAGTGTTCTCTTAGGAAATAACACTTAGAAGCACTTCTTGATCTTAAAATGATTCACTTTTGTACTCAGCAATTTATTTGCCTTGGTTTTGCAAGCCCTAGATATTTGTTCCTCTAAACAAAGAAGCCACCCAATAGTTTCAGAGCTGTGACTCAAGTCTTTTCAGAGGAAGCACTTGAAAAAACCTCTCTGCCCTCCCACAGTGACATCCAAGACTGCCCATTTAGGAGTAAGACAAAGAGCATGTCGCCAACACTGAACCCACTCATTCAAAAGTAGAAAGAAGAAACGCAAACGTTTCCCTTTGGGTCGGACTTAAAAAAAATTACAAGTAGTTATGTGGTCCCTCTTTACTGGTTCTAGTTACAGGAAAATCATCCTCTTTCAGAAGCAATGAAAAGAACATGCCTCGTTCCTTGATATGAACAGAAAATAACTCTGATTTTATTTCAAAATTTTAGGTGGTGCTTTTTTTTGACTCAAATTACTCAACCTCCTGAGAGGAATCGAAATGAAGGCAGAAGGCCCCTGCTCTGCTCCTCTTTGGGGCGGGGGGAGGCGGCGGCGGCATACCTGGGCTCCATAAACTCGCTGCATGGCCTGGAGCAGCTGGTTCGTATAATCTGTGAGGGTGCCTGCATCTTCTTCAAATACGCTCAGTAAAGAGCGAGTCTAGAAGAAAAGAGGTCAATTTTATTTCTAAGTGGAAAATTTACAAACAACAGCAACCCCCACCCCCCTGCTGTGGAACTGATTCCAAATATGACACCCCTTGGATCAGGGTTGCCAGGTTTCCTGGGCTACAATTCTTTGAGAAAGGACTGTCCATCTTTCTCCTGTGGAACAGCTGAGGTACTCCAACCATTGAGCGTTGGATTAGTAGTCCAACAAATAACTACCCATGCACTAGGGCTCCTTAAAAGATACACAGCAAATAAAAGCATGAACATACACCCAAAGTGAAATGGGAATAGTACATTCTTGTTACTTCTCTAGCTTTATTTTTTAACTGCCAATAACAACACCAGGTAATTCTTAGAGATTTAATTTAGAATTTTTCCAATCTTTTATAAACTATATAGCATAGCAGTCAAGAAACCAAAAGACAAGTTGCATTGGGAAAAACTGCTGCCAAGGACCTCTCCAGAATGCTGAAGAGCATTGATGTCAGGTCAGAGACTAAGGTGCGCCTAATCCAGGCTCTGGTCTTCTCAATCGCTTGTTATGTATCCAAGAGGTAGACAATAAATAAGGATGACAGAAGATGAATCAATGCCTTTTGAGTTGTGGTGTTTGAGAAGAGTAATGAACGTGGACTGCCAAGAGAACAAATAGGTCTGTCCTGGAGAGGGTGAAACCAGTTTGCTCCTTAGAGACAAGAATTCTGAAGCTCCATCTCCCCTACTTTGGACATGTCACCAGGAGGGAGCAGTTCTTGAAGGACATCATGCTTGGAAGGGTAGAGGGTCAGTGCAGAATAAGAAGCCCCTGATGAGATGGATTGACACAGTGACTGTGGCAATGGGGTCAGGTGTGTCAGAGATGGTGAGGTTGGCGCAGGATAAGGCAGGGTTCGGAGTCACTGCTAATAGGTTGCTGTGATTCGACTGCACATAACAACAAGAGGGCTCAGGAGTAAACAGGATACAACTGGAGTTATTAGCATTAGAGTTGCTGTTGTCAGGTGCTATCTAGTCAATTACAATTCAGAGCGACTCTATGAACAGTGGGTCAGAACCTTGCCCCATTTTGTGCCATTCTCACCATCCATTATATACTAGAGCCCACTGTTACAGTCACTATGTTGAATCATCTTGTTGAAGGTCTTCCTCTATTTTGCTGACCCTCCACCCTTCCAAGCATAAAATCCCTTTCCAAGATTTGTCCCTCCTAACAAAACTAATGAGGGGCTATATACATCCCACTGTTAGCTGCTTTAGAAGCACCAATAAAGTCCAACCAACAGAGAAGTGTTAAAATGGGCATCCTCTCCCTTCAAGTCCACAGACTGACCCTGAGATCCGGGCCATCTGTGCTCCTCAGGTGTGGGCAGGACATCAGCTCTGCTGGAGAACAACCACCCAGCAGTCAACCATCTGCCTGCTTTGCTGCGATCTTGGACGTTCTATAGGAACATGTCATTCTTTCCTCTTCAAATACTACTGCCAATTTCTGTGGGTTTTGGTCACATTTTTGGCAATCAATAGACAATATCATATGTAGGCAATTTCACAACACTGGGCCCTCCGGCAATAGCTCTGAGCACAAGGCAGCAAGTTACAGACTGCCAGCCCACTTCTCTTGGGAAGACTCTGAGAGCACTGAGCAATGTCATTAATGAATAGTATTCCCTGTTGTTTCATGTACAGTGCCTGGAGCACTAAAAACTACAGAGGTGTTTAGATATTGGATACAGAATTACCTGAGTATCACAAAAGAGAACTTATCTATTTAAAAAAACCCAAAACCCCTCAAACTCATTGCCTTTAAGATGGAACTATCTCAGAGCTGATCCCCAATGGGACTGTCAACACTTTAAATTCCACAGAGGAGCCTGGCTGTCTTTCTCCCTTGGAGGTACTGTGGATTTAAACTGTTAAGAGAGGTAAAATCTTTGGGGGTTAGCAGTGAAACTTCCTAGGGACTACACCACTGGAACTCTTCATCTACCCAAGGGACCTTTATTAAAGTGCTCTGCACAGTGTACATTTAAGCTACTACTTAAGTTATATAACGGGATTTCTGCTTCAGGAAATAACCTACCAGACACAGACTGGAAAGTAATTTACAGAAATGCCTTTAATGAAATGATTATCAAAGCACTTTACAAACAGTGTTCCATTAAGGCTCATTATTTTCCTCCAAGTGAACGTCAATCTCTTCTATATTTTTCCAACATACTTGAAGTATGCAGACAAAAACAAAACTCAAAGCATCTTCAATAAATGAAAGTATAAACTTGGGAATTTGGATGGTTCTATGTGACCACAGACGCTCTACTCAAGTTTAATCTACAAACTCTGGTGCACTTGGTAACGGAACAGGAAAAAAATAACTGCTCTGGGATGAATGCATTTTGTTCAGTACCAACCTTCATAGTTGTTGTTGTTGTTGTTGTTATGTGTCATCGAGTTGCTTGCAACTCACAACACCTCTATGTGTCCAAGCCCTGAACCCTTCTCTATCTTGAGTCACCTTACTGTCTTTGACACACCTACTCCCACTACCTCAGTCACTGAGTCAATCTTATCGTCCAGGATTTTCCTCTATTGCACTGTCCATCCACTCTTACAAGCATGATGTCTCTCCCCAGGGACTGGTCTCTCCTTGAAATGTGCTTTTGCAAAGTACGTCAGACGGAGCTTCAAAATCCTTGCCTCCAAAAAGCAGCCTAGTTTCATCCTCTCCAGAAAAAAACCTGTTTGTTCCTTGAGCAGTACACGGTATATTCAAAACTGTTCTCCAGCATCACTCAAAGACATCAATTCTTTTTCTATAATCTTTAGTCACTGTCAAGCTTTCTGATGCATAGGAAGTAACTGGAAAGACTAAGGCCTGGATTAGGGGAACCTAAGTCTCTAGACTAACATAGTTGCTCTTCAGTACTCTTGAGAGGTCCCTGACAGCAGACTTTCCCAATGTAATTTGTCATTTGATTTACTGGCTGCTGGCATCCGGACTACTGACTGTAGGGTCAAGCAAGCTGAAGCTGTTAACAATCTCTTCACTATCACGATGCTGCCAATTGGCCCAGGGGTGAGAATCTTTGTTTTCTTGATGTTGGGCTTCAATCTATATTGAAGCCTGCAATCCTTGACCTTCTGCAGCAAATGCCTCAGGTCCTCCTCAGGTTCAGCAAACAGGGTTGTGTTATCTGTATAATTTAGGTTGTTGATGAGTCTTCCTCCAATCCTGATGCCACATTCCTCCTCATAGAGCCCAGCCTCTCAAATGATCTCTTCCACATATAGATTGAAAAGATATAGAGATAGGCTGCATCCCTGGCATATACCTTTCCTGATTTTGAACCATGCAGTGTTAGTGTTTCTTTGCTCTGTGCGGACAACTGCCTCCTGACCCAAATATAGGTTTTGCATAAGCACAACCAAGTATTCTGGGATTCCCATTCTTCTCAGCATTAGCCACAGGTTGTTGTGATCCACACAGTCAAATGCTTTGGCATAGAAAATGAAACACAGATAGAAATTCCTCTGGCACTCTCTGCTTTCAGCTAAGATCTATCCAACATTGGCTATAATACTACTGAAGAAACAATCAAATGAATAAGACAACTTTAAGATCATTTCTAAAAGCACTCTCAACAAGAGCATATTATATATATAGCTCACACTGTGCAGAACGTGTTAGAATAGAGTTCTTCAAATAGTTTTATTATAATCCACAGTATGTTCTATATCAATATCTGAGCAAAGATGTCACAAAACACTATTTATCACATTTATTTTTTTCCTCCTCCCTATTCAATTCCATTTTGCAAATTTTACAAATTCATTTGTAAATAAGAGTACTCACTGTGACCTACTATGTTTCATAACTCACTAATGCATCTTGGCTGGTAGGTAAAAAACATTGGTTTATAACTCATTATTACATCTCTTCAGAGCACTGGGGGCAAATTACGTGAAAACAAAACTGTTAAGATATTCTCAGATCCTATACTGCGGGGGAGTATGTCTGCCATTCAACATTCATTCACTCATTCATCTCAGCCTTTATCTAACTTTTACAGAAACACTGTGCAGGGTACTGAGGAGGAGTTTAGAGCTGGCTGAGATGTCTCACAGGATCTGCAATCACCTTGAGACCATGTCAGTATGGGGTCGAAATTTAGACTATGGAACTAACTGACAGGTTAATGAGATTATTCGTGCATGTAAGGTTGCCTATTAAACGAAAATAAAAATAAGTCCACTGACATTGAGTGGCTAACAGATTCACGGCTTTGCTCCTTCACTTCCCGAGGTTGTAAATCTTTACAGTAAAAGACTGCTTCCCATTTCTTCCTTGATGTAATTGGTGGATTCAAACTGGTAAACTTTCAGGGAGTAGACCAACACAAACACATCACACCACTGAAGGTCTGCAAAGCGCCTACTGTTGTATACTGTTGAGCTGGAACCTACTCACAGACGAGCCTCCAGTGGGTTTTCAGAGGCTGTAAATCACTCTGGAGATTGTTCACCTTTCTACTGAGAAGCAGCAGGTGAACTGGAACCTGGTGCCTATGACTTGTAGGCAGTGCAACTCTCTATTACTAAGACAACAGAGATCGTTACCAAAATCTGACATATAGTTAAAGCAGGGATGAAGTAGAGAATGAACTTTCTTTACTGCTTGTTAATCGGCACTAAATGCTTAACATGGTAATTTTACATTAATATTAGAGCAACTCTGTCACTCACATTACCTGTCATCAGCAAGTCAGTTGTGACTCACTGCAGCCCTACAGGGCAGAGTAGAAATCTCATAGGGTATGCAAGCATAATCCATTCAGAAGTCACATCTTTCTACTAAGGAGTGGCTGCTGGTTTCAAATCACAGACCATTAGTTGGCAGCTGTGAACTCTGAGCCTGTACCACCAGAATTCCTGTACCATACACTTATCTGTGCCACCTTACAGGGTAAGACCTTTTTCAAATCTTTGTGTCCA